TTTTTTTTTTTTTTGGTTAATTCTCACCTGAATTGCTTTTCAGAGCGAGTGGAAGGGAGGGCGGGGGGAGAAAGCGAAGCATCCACGTGAGAGAGACACATCGACTGACTGCCTCCCGCACACGCCCCGACCGGCCCGGGGAGCAAACCCGCACCCCAGGTATGTGCCCTTGACCGGGAATCAAACCCGCGACCCTTCGGTGTGCGGGCCGACACTCTGACCCCTGAGCCACACAGGCCAGGCCGCGTTCGCATTTAATCTTCGCAGATCCTGCCCATCACGTCCAGGCCTGAGCATGAGACGCCGAGCATGACCGACGCGTTCCCTCCAGTGGCTTTCCCGCCGCTTCTCCTCAGGCCGCGGGGCCTGGAGCGAGAAGCAGGAGGACGAGGGCCGGGGCCACACGCCCAGGTGCCTCGAGGGGCCTGAAGAACACCGAGAACACCCACGGTTCTGGAACCCAGGTCTGGCCGCCTCGCACGGAGCCCGGCCAGACTCCTCCCATCCCATCCGGCCAAAACGGGTCAAAACCACATAAAACAAAGCCCGGCTCGCGGGGCGGGAGGCGCGACCGACCTTGATGATGTGGAGCTTCGGGAGGAGGTTGCAGTCGGCCAGCGTGAGCTCGTTCCCGTCCAGGAACTTCCTCCCCGAAACGGCCGCCTCCTCGGCGCCGCCGGCGTCGATCTCGTCGGGCAGGGGGCTCGTGAGGTAGTCGTCCAGCTTCTTCAGGGCCCTGAGCAGCTGCTTCTCGTAGACTAGACGGGAGGGAAAGGAAGGCCGAGCGGCCGGCGGGTCAGCGCCACCTACAGGCCAAGGGGGGCGGTCGACGTGCCTCACTCCCTGGAAAATAATTGTCTACACCGCCTGCCGTCCACAGGACACTGCTGTCCACGCCACCCTGCTGTCCACGCCACACGGCTGTGTCTAGAACTCACTTCTTTNGGAAAATAATTGTCTACACCGCCTGCCGTCCACAGGACACTGCTGTCCACCCCACCCTGCTGTCCACGCCACACGGCTGTGTCTAGAACTCACTCACTTCTTCNTCCACGCCACACGGCTGTGTCTAGAACTCACTTCTTTGAAAGTCTCTATGGAAATCCTATCCTGAAGCAGGCCCAGCAGCGGCATCATTTAAACTGATTCCCGGGTACAGCTGAGCGTGCCTGGCGGTGATGAGTTCACCCTTTAAAATGTTGTTTTCTGGCTTCCAACCTCGAGAAGAAGCACTCAGTGCCCAAAACCCACGTACAGATCAGCCCAAGTGCCACGTGGAGGCGATGGCTCCTTATTTCTAGACACGGGCCCCTCCCCCTGTGAAATGGGGCAGAATTCCCAGGGCCTCACAGGACCACCAGAGGCCAAGGGAAGGGCCTGGCTGGAAACAAAACCCCAGGGAGACGCGGGGACTGACTCACTCTCATTTGCATCCTTGTTGGTGTTTTTTATGAACGCTGAGAATTTGGCAAACACGTCATTTCCGGCAGAGTTAGATTCAGGGTGTTGGGTCCCCAGCTTAGGGTACCTTGAAAAATTCAGAATTGGAATGACACAGATAAGCGATATTTGAGTTAGGATAACACAGTGGGGGGGGGTCTCTTTCCCTGAGTGGATATAGAAATGAAAACGTCTCCTCGAAGGTTTTCCTGAGCGTCAATCTTCAAGCTCGGAGCCAGGCGGTGTAGGGAGGAAGGTGGGGACTGGGGGTTCTCATCTGGGCCCACCCGCCTCCCTGTCTAAGTTCCCTCCCTGCTCGATGCAGGTGGACTGGAAGGTTCCATCCCAGGTCCAGCTACTCCTCGGCGCGGCTACATCCACTCCTTCCCTTCCAGCCGAGGACCCAAGACGTGGCCCACCGGGCGGCACCGGCCAGCCTCCCCCGCATCCTGCTGTCAGACCCCACTGGCCAACCCGAAGGTTCGGAGCAAAGAAACCCGCCGCCTTCGCTCAAGTTTCTAATTGTGCCCCGCGTTTGCTGTGGCGCCCACGGGCTCAGTCAGGAAGCGGCGACCACGCCACAGAGAAGCAGACACAGGAAGCCAAGCCTCAGGGCTGTGAGGGGCCACGGGGACGCCAGGCTGCAAGGCTGGCTGTGGGCCTACCTCGGGGGGGCCAATCTCTCCTCCAGGAACTCCGCGATCTTGTTCACGTCCGTCTCCACTTCACCATCGAAGGTCATGAAAGGGGGGTTCGTTCCGGGAGCGAGGTTCTGCAGGTCTGCAGGTTTTCTG